ATAAACACGCAACAACTTCCAGTGAGCAAAAAATTTCCGTTTTTTTCTTCATTTTTTTCCTCATCCTATTTTCACTGTTAATAATAAATTTCAAAGCACATGGAGAACCACCCAAACAAACTTTAAGACAACCTGATTCAAATGTTTCAATCGAATAAAAATCTTTTCATTTTTGTCCTCTGAGAAAAACAAATTTTTTTCTGCATCAATCGATCAGTAAAATCCGTTTTTATTTGCTCAGCTCAACATATAAGCCTATCGCCAAAGCAAACCGGAATTTCAAAAACATCTTTATAAGAGCATTTTGACCTCATTGTCTAAATCATCATCTTTGTCATCATCTTCTTCAGCAAAATCATCAGTTTTGGCTCCATGGAACTTTGTCGAATTTTAATCACTGACTAACCAATAACCAACAGCAACCAAACGGCCGAAATAAATCAAAATTCTAAAAGTTCTTTTCCCTTCCCACCCCTCGTATAAACACTGAAAAGTTGTAGTGAAAAAAAAACTACATTAAACTTTTCCTGTTTTAAACTACGAGAAGAAAAACGAAAACAATTACTTGATTTCCGCCGTTCATTCTTCCAAATACTCTATCAACTTTTATCCACTCTAACACTTCTATTATAAATTAACATCTGTATAGTATTAGCCGCTTGTCAAGTTTTCTTTTCATTCTATTATCTTTACTGATATCATCAACGATCTTTCAAAATAAAGCTGGCTAGCATTATTTGCAAAAATTAACCACCACCAATAAACGCCAGCAAGGTAACCAATTTATTACACATTCACATTGAAAATAATGCTGTTTCCCAAACTAAAAAAGCTACAGACAGTTGTTCATGTTCTACTAGAATAGAAACTGTACTTTCAATCGATCACTGAAGCCGTATGTTTGCTTATTTCTACGAGTCCTTCTTCGTCTACTCACTGTAAAAAGCATTTGTAACCAGTGCTCTTGTGAATTACCAAATGCACATTCCAGCTATCGATAGACAAATTATTTCAAAGCTAGCGCAGGAATGGAGCATGTAACAAAGTAAATTTAAATGCAGATTTAGAACTCATTGAAAAGTAAAATAATCTTTTTTTTTTTGTGAAATTTTTGCAAAATGACAGTCTGCTGATTACCAGATATAAACAGTGATACAACGGTAACCATAATAACATGTGCGGATTTCCGAAAATGCGTTTGCAGAGAGAATTTGCTCAAAATCTGGTGACAAAGACATCAAAAAACCTTTAATCTTCTGTTTTTAATTTCTTTAAAGAAAAAAATGCTCTTGAAATAGAATGTAGTAAAAAACTAAAAACTTTTAAAATGTTTTTACTAACAGTGCACGAAGAATAATAACAGAACAAAGAATTAATAAGTGAAGGACAGTCCTCCTCAATAAGCCGAAAGGGTTATCTCAAAAGTCGCTGGCGGTGATGCTTCCTTGACAGTATCTTTGTTATCGCTAGAGTGTGTTCCTCCAGCAGCAACAAGTGCGACAATCTCTTCCTGGAAATTGTGCAATCAAACAACTAATTATGTGTTCAGACCGTCTCATCTGTTGCTCAATACCCAACTGCTGTATAAACAAACATTCTTTCATATTAGTTTGATTGAAATTAAAAAAAAAGTATTATACACACTTGTTCCTGCCCCGCCTTCTTGTCACAAAGCATAATAATCCCCCCTTGAGAAAGGGATTTTAAAGGCTTGTATCTGCTGTTTTCAGGCATCTGCAGTGTTTTCAACTGTAATCGAACTACTCTTGCTGGATTTTGCAAATTATGTGTTAAAGGTTCTGACTCTTTTTCTTTGGCTGCGCTGCAAAAACATCGTTTTTAGAAAGAATATAAGTGCTACAATGTTAAACAACCATTGAAATAAACCTTAGGAACATCTTTTAGCAAATTATTTTTGCAAAGAGTTATAAAAACCCGCATGAAAACAGCAAAACCTTTTAACATCATGCAATTGCTTATCGCCAGCAGCTTCAGAGGCTAAAGGTATATCGACATCCATCTTCTCTTTTCGACTTTCTTTTGCTTCTTCTTTTCTTTCTCTTCTTTCAGTAAATGACATTTTCTTATTTGTTATTGACAAAACAGCTGTTTCTACCTTAAATTCCACTTGAAAAACGATTACTCAAGACCATTTCTCCAAAATATGAAAAATGCAGATTGACATTTCACTTGCCATTGAAAATCTGTAGAAAAAAGAAAATTAAAAGAAATGCCAATTCTATTTGCAACAAAATTTTTTAGCAGCAATAAAAGATTCTACGCTACTTTGAGTGCATCTAGTTTAGACGCTGGTAAATGGCAACTGTACCTTCCCACTTTCCTCCTTCTTTTTTTCTTCTAAAGGAGGTGGATATGCAAAAGTAGATGGTTTTGCATTTGAGCGGAATTCGGTTTTAGGCATCTGAAACGTCACAGAAAAAATGAATTGAAAAAAAAAAAAAGAAATAAAAATAAGCTTGAAAAATGTTCACTTACGACTGCCGAAAGCATTTACGATTAATGTTCACCTCTAAATTGATGTTCAGACCGATGAGACAAGTAGGCTTGAAGGCAAGCGATGCAAAGTGAGCAAACGAATGCCAGTACCAGTACTGAAGAAAAACAAAAGTTCCAACAACACTTTGCATGTCCGAATGACCACTTCGATTATGTAAAGAAATAGTGACATTACGTCCGCCTGCGTCAATGATACCTTGGGCGAAAATAGCTCCCAATTTTGTAATCGAATCCTCGCCTTTCTCAGTGATCATCTATAGAATTTTTCTCTTTCTAAATATGAGTGATATGATGGCAAACTATATGAAAGTTATTGTCGTTAATTAACCTTTGTTAAAGTTTTCCGGAAGCCATTAACTTTTGGCGAAGAAGCATCTGTTTGCTGAATGAGAATGAATGCCAAAGCAAGAACAGCTCCTTGTCGAACAAAGTTTTCCTTGGCAGAAAGTAGTGGCTCGAGAAGAGCAATAGCTTCCTAAAATCAAAATGGTTCTTTACAGCAACTAATTTTCGACAAATAAAACACACATACACACAAATAATCAAAAAATAAAAGAAAAAAAAAATAGACAGTCTAATTTGGTTTGAAAGACAATTTCAAAAATAAATTATCCCTACTTGATTTATATCTTTCTTTTTAACAAAATTTCTTTAGCAAAATGGTATTACAAACTGACCTGCCTAAATAATCATCAGATAAAATTATAGTTTTTTCCTCGTCCTCAACAAAAAAATAAACTTTCTTTAATAGTTCTGATCGGTTTTAAATAAAAAACTCCTTCCAGTTAAAAATAATTCTCAAGTTTACTGGTATTTTTGAAATTTGTTTTAAATAAAGCTATCAGAAATGGTGAAGAGCGACCCGCCTTGAAAGAAGATTCAATACATATTTCTTTTAAAAACCAATCCAATCCTAAAAAAAACATCTTCGTTTTGTCGGCAGAACAATTAACAGAAACTAAGATCACTTAATAAATATCTAAAAATTGCAAGCAGTGGTTTCATCTTCTCCAGAGGTTTGCTGTACGATAAACGATGAGTATTCGAAAAAACCATCAATTGCAGCAAAGGCTTTTTTCGAAATCAACTGTAAAAGAAACTGGCAACGTACATCAAAAGCAAACTAATGCGCCAGATATCACTATCATGGTTTCCCAAACGACTAAATATGCGCAAGTTTTTTTTTTTTAAAGAATTTTGCTATTAAGATTGAAGAAATATGCATAGGTAACATAAAATAAAAATCCGATTAGCTTGCAGCGTTTAACAATCAGTAGGTACTCAAAAATTTAACCGAATCCAGGAAAGTTTTGACTAATAACCAGAAGTCAATTATCTGGAAAATTGAAAATGATTATAATTCCCTAAGCATCCTATAAAACGTTTAAAAATCAAAATTTTAAGAAATATATATGATTTAAAATTTCACTGAAATAATCTAAAGTCATTCAAGAAGAGCAGAAGAAAAATATATGTATTAAAATAAGACTACAGAGTAAAATCAATTAAGAAAAAGTGCCAAATAATACGTCATAATTCCATCCAACAGCTAATTAAAAAAAAAAAGAAAAAGGAAAAGAAAATAAAGAAACAATTTCTATTAGCCAAGTTAAAAATGCTATAAAAGTGCTAAAAAAATCTCACCGTTAATCGATGTACTTTTATTCAATAACAAATCCAATATGACCAGAATACCGATCAAACTAGCCTATCGGTAAATCAATCAAGAACCGAGATTAAACAATCAAATACTGTACCAATGATGTTCACAGGTGTTACAGAAAATGTTTATTCTATTCAATGACTGCAGACACCAGAAATACAAACCTTATATCCCGAACCAGCGCACGAAATACCCAATGCCATCGCAGCACCATATCGGACATGAGGATTGAAATGTTCCACCAGCATTCCGGTGTAGCTCAAGCATTGTTCAGCGTCACTGAAAAACGACTTCAAACCTCTAAAAATCAACAAAAAGGATCAAACGAGTTGCGCAAAAGCAAAAAAGCTTGATGAAGTCCCGCCCTTGATAATGAAAGAGCTAAAAGAACCAAAAGCCATTGACAGAGTATTATGCGAAAGAAAAGAGAGGGCGGTGCCGGAGTGGAAGTGAGAAATCAGCTTCTTCGGTGAGAGCAAAACATCTAGGGCAATCTCCACAACTCCCTTCTGCCTGCTACTGTCCCCATCTCAACTACACTAAACTATAATTTTACCAAGGCTCAATATCCTCTCTACACCAAACCTAAATAACTTTGAACTCAAACCATCATTGATCGTCTTCAACTATTCCTAATCATTCATTGTTATTTTATTCTGCCTTAACACCAGATGATGAACTGCTAACTTGAAACTTGTTGACTACTATTATCTCAAAAATCACTACACTAATGAAAAAAATTACACCTTGTTGCTCGACGATACACATATTATCGTCCAGTAACAGTTGAAAAAAATTACCTGTAAAACTATTTAAGCGCATGCAAAGCGTACCGACTGACACAGCACACTTTTCAATATCTATTATATTACCGCTTCTCTGTATTATTGGAGTATTAGGAAACTTTCTCATATGCATGGCAATTTGGCTTGACCGTAGGCTTCACAACGTTACAAACTATTTTCTCTTTTCTCTAGCGCTCGCTGATTTACTTGTTTGTATTGTTGTCATGCCCATCAGCTTTACAGTGGAATTCCATCGAGGTTAGTTTTATGTTTAGCGACAGTTCCATTAGTAAATCAAATGTGATACACAACAAAATTCAAGGCCCTCATAATCCTCTCCATCCCCATTTCAAAAAAGAATTACAAGATTGCATAAATAACAAAGTTTCTCACAGTTTTTTTTGAAACAAAATCGAAACAGTAAACAGCAGAAAGAAAACCTCCTTAAATGATTTGAGATTGCAATTAAAATGTCGAAAACAAGATGTATATTGTTTATAAATCAACAGTAATACTTAACCAAGCAAGTGAAGACATCGATGCTGACAGTACATAGTTTTTTAAAACTTTCCAACTACTCGTTTCTCTGCGCTAATCAATAAAAGATCCAGAAACAAATAAAAAAAAACTAGAAAATGATGTAAAAACTAGTAATACGATAATACTTAAATCATGCAAGAAATTGAGAATTTATAAAAATTGATAGCACTAATTGAAATCACAAATCTTAGAAAACATACTCTTTTTCAACTTAACATTCCAATTAAGACTGTTCATAAGTTACTTGACCCTGTTTACATTTTTCTTTGAAAAAATCTTTGAAAAATTTGTACTTTTTAAATTGTACAGTAAAGTTTAAAAACTGAGAAGTCAGATATGATGACAAAAACAAAATTATTTGGAAAAAAAACGCCGTGCTCATCAAATTGCCCTGAACCCAGCTCTACTTTTTGTGTTCTGCGACTTTCAGTTCTTTCACAAGAGCGTACAACTGAGTGGATCAGATGGGTCGCTAAAACTTAAAAAATTTTTAGGAAAATGGTTATCCAGTTTCGAATTATGCTTAATATATGTGTACTCTGACGTCTTTTTATGTACAGCAAGTATTGTTCACATGTCCGTTATATCTGTAGACCGTTATCTTGGTATTTCCAAGCCACTTGAGATGCGGAATCGTTCTAAAACGATGATCACCCTAAAGATTACATTTGTCTGGATGGTTACTGTGCTCATCTCATGTCCAATTGCAATTGCTGCCATAATTGATCCCACCAATATTCTTAATCAATCACACTGTGTGATAACCAATCGATACTATATGATTTACGGGTCAACTCTTGCATTCCTTGTTCCTTTTGTTATTATGGCTGTCACTTATTTTAAAACAACAAATCTGCTTAAAAAACAAGCATCAATGTTATCACAAACTGCCATTCAAAGAGCTAGAGGAGAAGGCCTGAGAAGAACAATACCAAGAAAATCAGCGGTATCAAGGTCCAATTAATACAGTTTTTCAACACTTTCTGTCTTTTTAATTTTACTATCGCAGAATGCATGCAGATGTCTGCTGACTAATCTTAAGGCTTTTTTTAGTTTTTAGATTTGTTTCCCATAATTTTCATACTAAATCTTTCCTAAAGTGTCAAAGAAAAAAGACCATAATTTCGAACCTTAAGAAATGACATGCTTTTTAAGCAGTAAACAGTAAACAAATTCTTGAAAGAGAAGAAGAATCAACGATAATCATCTAAATCAAAAAAAAATTCTTCAATCTCCCAATTACTAAAAGCTTGAAAAAAATTTCATTTAGCACTGTATAACTGGGTACAGTACTCAGAATTCTGCAGCAACTTTAGAAATTGAGCTGAAAAATTTTTTTTTGACAGCCAGTCTTTCAGCTGTTTTAGTGATGGGACTCATAAAACTAGCACTGTAACAGAGCGCCCCTCAACGTCGGCAAGACTGTCAACAGCTCTCAACAGTTCTGACGATGAACTACGCTTACTGGATGCTAATGAAGAGGAAAGCACGCAGGTAAAGTGGATTTGTTTGAATTTTATTGAATAAACCAGAATCTGAAATTTTTTCTCAAAAAGCAGATAAAATTTTAAATTTAAATCCTGTCATCATTCACATACATAAATGCAAAAAAAAGCTGAACTTCCACTAAAAATTCATTTAAATCAGCTAAAAAACTGCATAAAACTTTTTTAGGCCAAAGAGAACAAGTTACGAAAATTATGCGTTCGAACATCATCCGTATTCCTATCATTAACATCCAAATTTGCAAATCAACATTCTCAAAAAGCTGAGGAGATCGCAAATGAGCATAAGGTCAATGATGATAAAATCCATCAAAAAAGTTAACTTTCTGGAATAAAATAAGAAAAATCCAATTAAGTTATAATATCAATCCTTAGTAACTATGTAACTACGCTATCGACTTCAACCTTAAAATTTAACAATAAAAACATTGAAGAAGGATACTCATATTTTTTAGGCAACAAGAGTGTTAGCTGTTGTATTTGGATGCTTTTTCGTTTGTTGGACACCATTTTTTGCTGCAAATTTAGCAAACGGTTTCTTCGGCGACAAATGCGATATACCACCCGCATTATCATCAGTATTCTTATGGCTTGGATACGTTTCAAGTATTATCAATCCATTAATATATACCATATTCAACAGGTGATTTCTTTTCTTTTTTTTTT